AAAAATATATTTATCTTATCATATTATCTCTATCAGATCTCACTTTCGCAAGTGGCCGTGAAGGGATTGACAACCCCTTTATCGCGTTGGTTGCGAGTTCTTTGTTTGTTTGTGTAGGTTCGTGGGACTTGTGAGGAGCCTCCTACTGGATTGATACCTTGGTTGTCAAAAAATGAGGGAAATACTTACGCTACTATGTTGCATCACCCTTTCCTCTTCAAGGAAACCAACACAAGCTCAAGACGTAGCAATGACCGTCGGATGCTCCGCATCACCATGCTAGTCCTTTGAATCCAAGCGAAGGCAAGTCAGGCAAATTTTCAAGGGCATCTCTTATTTTCCATGTTAAATAAAGCAAGGACACAAAGTATTCATTTTTTCTATTTTGTAAGGCCATATATAATACTCCCTCCATCCCACAAATTAGCGTAGTAACATCTTATATTATGGGACAGAGGGAGACCTTCTCAAAGTATTATATATTTGCCTATTTTCATATTCGTTTTCGTACTTTCATATTTCTTTTTACTGGAGATTTCCATTTTGATGTGTCGTAAACTTGAAGTTGGTCGTTTGGTCTATCTTTGTGTAAGATCATTTCTTTTCGGAGGTATATTTGTGAATGTGTAGTCTAGTACTATTGCACTACTCCTATCCATGATTTGTGCTAACATTAGGAATGTGGAGCTTCACTTTCAATATGGAAAGACATCAATCCAGTTGATAATCTCAAGCTAGAACTGATAACCTAGGCTAGGTAATGCTAATCTCTGGAAACAATATCCAGCTCTATACAATATTGTGTATCACAACGGTGATACTATTGCAAGGTTTTGGAATCATTTCCACCAAATGTGACATTCATAAGGGATTTAATTGGACCTAGACTCCAATCATGGAACATACTACTCCAATGGTTAACCACGGTACAGTTGTCACAAGGGTCAGATGTCTTTCATTGGAACCTACATGGGAATGGGCGATTCTCAGTGGAGTCTATGTGTAAAGCTTTGATCTAGTCTGACATGTCAGTTGATAATAAGAAGAAGATCTGGAAGATGAAGATACCTCTTAAGAATAAAATCTTTGCATGGTACCTTCGTCGCGGAGTCATTCTCACTAAAGATAACCTTATTAAGAGGAATTAGCATGGAAGTACGCAATATGTATTTTGCCCGCGTGATGAGACAATAAAACATTTGTTCTTGCAATGGTCAGTCATCCAACTAGCTTTTGGCTTGTATCCTCTTTGTAGTGTTGCTAATATATTTGTTTATGATTTGGTCGCATTGGCTATGTAGAAATGATAAGGTTTTTTAATGATAAAATTATTTCGCTTATGCAGGTTATCTACAGATGTACCGGGATGCTTCGTTTATGTCTCTACAACGAATGGAGAATCGAGACCTGTTTATGGAAGTGTGTACATCATTGGAGGCTACGGCGAGGGATGATTTTACCCAACACAGCATGGATGGCAGCATGATACTAGGGTTAGGCCACCGACTGTTAACATGACGTGAATGTCCCTCTTGTTCTCATGCTCATACATGGGGAAACACTCTCCCTTATAAGAAGGTCCAACTCCCACCAAACTAGCAATGTGGAACTAAATTTTGGTTTCACCTCTTGCCTTGCACGAATGAGCTGAGTGGAGCTTTAGGATTTATTAATAATTTCTGAAATTGCTATTGGGTTGGTCCAAAGTAGACTAAATTCCGGCATGATCTACATGTATTTCTCTCGGCCCTCTCTGTTTTAGTACAAAATGAACTCGATCAAGCTACATTACTATGGGACCGGCCCATTAGCACAGGTTTGCAGGATTTCTCCCTTTTTATTTGTGTTATTTTTTGTGTCTCAAAAAAATAGTGTAATTTTTTAATTTCAAATTAATTTTAAAAACAAATAATATTTTAGGTAACTTCACAATGTATTTTAAAAATGTCCATCACATTTATATTGCTTCACATATTTAAAAAATATGTCCGTGCAATTTGGAAAAATGTCCATATAAAAGAATTGTTCATCGAATTTGAAAAGGTGTTCATACTTTTTCTAAATGTTCATACACTTTTATAAAAGTTTGTACAATTAACTATTTGTGTATTTACCATAAATGTTCACGTATTTGCAAAATAAATCATGAAGTTTAAAATGAGTTTGTGAAAGTTAGAAAATGTTCACGTGTTTTTTGAAAAGAAAGTGGAATCTGTCAAAAAAAGGTTAAAAGAGTAAAGGGAAAATGTTTGAAATTAACCGAAAAGGAAAAAATGTAAATTATACCCAAAAATATAAAAGCTAAATAAGGAAAACATAAAAAAGGAAAAGAACGAAAAACTAAAATCCGGAAAAGTGTACAGAAACGGTTTGCCGAAAGAACTATGATCATGTATTTCTCTCGTCTCTCTCTGTTTACAGTACAAAATGAACTCGATCAAAAAATAAACCCCCTTGTAGAAATATGAAATAAAATAACTCCCGCTACCTTATATATAGGGCCGGCTCATTGGCACAAGTTGGCTGGATTTTTTTTTCCTTTTACTTTTTGCCTTTTTATTTGTGTCAAATTTTTATTTCGGTTTTATTTGAAAAATAACTAACGTTTCGGTTTTATCTGTGGCATTTAAATTGTTTCGCATACTATAAAATATGTTCGCACGCTTTGAAAAATGCTCATGAAATTTAAGATAAGTGTTCACGAAATTTGAACAACCATGATTTGTAAGGATGTGGAGCTTCACCGGTTGGTCAATATGGAAACCCATCAAACCAGTCAGTAATCTCAAGCTAGCACTGACGCTCGCAACCTACTGCTTCACATATTTCTCTAGCTATTTACAATACAAAACGAACACGATCAAACACACAACTAAGCTCACTAGTCACGTCGGAGCATCAACCACTCTCTCTGTCCGGAATCCCCTAGGGTACACGAGCACGGAGGATTAGCGGAGTCTATGTATAAAGTTTTGATCCAGTCTAACGTGCCAGTTGATAATAAGAAGAAGATCTGAAAGATGAAGATACCTCTTAAAAATAAAATCTTTGCATATGATACCTTCGTCGCCGAGTCATTTTTACTAAAAATAACCTTATTAAGATGAATTAGCATGGAAGTACGCAATATGTATTCTGTCCGCGTGATGAGACAATAGAACATTTGTTCTTCCAATGGTCAGTCATCCAAATAGCTTTTGGCTTGTATCCTCTTTGTAGTGCTGCTAACATATTTGGCAACTACTTACATGAGATTGATCACAGGCTTAGAATTCTTCTTAGGGTGGGAGCGCTTGTCGTGATTTGGTCGCTTTTGTTATGTAGAAATGATAAGGTTTTTTAATAATAAAAGTATTTCGCTTATGCAGGTTATCTACAGATGTATCGGGATGCTTCGTTTATAGTCCTCTCTACAATGAATGGAGAATCGAGACCTGTTTATGAAGGTGCGTACATGATTGGAGGCTACGGCGAGGAATAGTTTTACCCAACATGGGTGACAGCATGATCTTAGGATTAGGCCACGATAAAACAAGTCATGCAATCTAGTAGCATCGGCTCATTCACGCAACCCGCGACGGGCCGCAGAGGAGGAGGGCGCGTGAAGGTCCCTCTTATTTTCATGCTCATACATGTGGGAAGACACCCTTCAAGGAGGTACAACTCCCACCAAACTAGCAATCTGGGACTAAATTTTGATCCCACCTCTTGCCTTGCACGAATGAGCTGAATGAGCTTATTAGGAATTCCTAAAATTGCTATTGGTCTGGTCCAAAGTAGACAAATTCTAGCATGATCTACATGTATTTTTCTCGGCCCTCTCTGTTTTACAGTACAAAATGAACTCGATCAAGCTACATTATTATGGGACCGGCCCATTAGCACAGGTTGGCATGATTTCTCCCATTTTATTTGTGTTATTTTTTGTGTCTTAAAAAATAGTGTTATTTTTTAATTTCCAACTAATTTTAGAAACAAATAATTTTTTAGGAAACTTCACAATGTATTAAAAATGTCCATGACATTTATATTGCTTCACATATTTAAAAAATATGTTCGTGCATTTTGGAAAAATGTTCATGTAAAAGAAGTGTTCATCGAATTTGAAAAGGTGTTCACACTTTTTTTAGTGTTAATACACTTTTATAAAACTTTGTACAATTAAGTATTCGTGTATTTACCATAAATGTTCACGTATTTGCAAAATAAATCATGAAATTTAAAATGGGTTCGTGAAAGTTAAAAAATGTTCACATGTTTTTTGAAAAGAAAGTGGGATTTTTCAAAAAGGGTTTATACATATTGGTTAGTTACAGATAAAACTGGGAAAATAAAAGTGTAAAGGGAAAATATTTGAAATTAACAAAAAGGGAAAAAAAGGTAAATTATACCCAAAAATATAGAAGCTAAACAAGGAAAAATAAAAAAGGAAAAGAACAAAAAACTAAAATCCGGAAAAGTGTACGAAAACCGCTTGCCAAAAGAACTACGGTCATGTATTTCTCTGGTTTCTTTCTCTCTCTATTTACAGTAGAAATGAAGTCGATCTAAAAAATAAACACACCCTTGTACAAAGTTCAAATGAAATAAAACTCCCGTTACCTTGTATATATAGGGCCGGCTCATTGGCACAAGTTGGCTGGATTTTTTTCTTTTTATTTGTGTCACATTTTTATTTCAGTTTTATTTAAAAAACAACTAACGTTTAGGTAATTTCAACAAATATGTGTGGCATTTAAATTGCTTCACATGTTATAAAATATGTTTGCGCATTTTGAAAAATGCTCATGAAATTTAAGACAAGTGTTCACGAAATTCGAGCAACCATGATTTGTAGGGATGTGGAGCTTCACCTTCAATATGGAAACACATCAAACCAGTCGGTAATCTCAAGCTAGCACTGACGCTCGCGACCTACTGCTTCACATATTTCTCTAGCTATTTACAATACAAAACGAACATGATCAAACACACAACTAATCTCACTACTCACTCACTAGTCACGTCTGAGCATCAACCACTCTCTCTGTCCGAAATCCCCTGGGGTACACGAGCACGGAGTCGACGCAGAGGCCGCCCTTGGTGTGGGTGCAGTCGATCTGCGCCATGGAGAACTTGACCCTCACCGGCCGCCCGTGACCGTGCTCCTCCGTGTCGGGGGCCACCACGAAGTCGCCGGCGTGGTACAGGGCCCAGCTCCCCGGCTCGTCGTCCAGGTAGCGCTGCGACACGGCGTTCTGGCCGTCGGACGTCGACAGCTGGAACCGCACGGGCTTCCTGTCCCAGCCGTGGATGCCGCTGCCGGCGTTCTTCTCGGAGCCGCAGCCGCGGCGGCCGGCGTGCCTGGAAGAAGAGGGCTTCCCGAGGTGGAGCCTGAAGTAGAGGCTGTAGGTCCCCGCCGGGAAGCGGAAGTCGATCTCCCCGACCACCTCGAACCACCAGATTTGCTGCAGGTACGCCACGGACTGGAACCTGCAGAGGCGAGCAGAGAAGAAAGGTTCAGATTTCCTTCAGGATGACTCCTAATTTCTTTGTGTAACAATCTGACCAAACAATCATCATCAAGAGAAACAGAATTTTATATACAACGATTTGTTGGTCGTATTCAACGATTTTGTTGGTTGCATGATCTGATGAACATTTCAAAAGAAAGGGACGTAAGGGTTGACACGATATTTCAAATGTCAGTAGTACAAAAATATGTTTGAAAAATTCAAGCCCCGTCGAAAATATCTCTACTCACGAACTATCTCCTGTCAATTATTGCTGGTGTCCATGATTACCTCATCGATATGCAAGCTGGCAACCGCGGTATTTTGAGCAATACAAATTTGTCAAAAAGGGATGAAAGCTACACTTTGTTTCACTTTTTTTTGGCATCATCAACGGTAACTGTAGATATTTCTTTTACATAAACATAATGGTAGATATTTTCATTCTACTAGTACAAATTAAACAAGGTAGAGATGTGTGATAGTCAAAATAACTAGTACTACTATATGCAAAACAGAAGATGAGAAACATTAGTAGTACCAAGCATATGATTGGAAGCAAGATCTGAATTCAAAATTACCTAGACTCTGTGTTTGGCATATGAACCCAATATCTCCTGTCATCGATCCCCGTTATCACCAACGATTTCGAGGATAATGCCATGCAAACCATGCCGGTGCTCTTCTCCAACCAGAATTCCTGCCGGGCAAACAGAGGAGTGTTCTTCGTCAAAACAAGAATAACAATAAAAAAACAAGAAACATATATACTCGAGTGTAAGAAATCGACTATAAAACCATTCTCGAAGAAGAGATTAAGGTTTTTCGTGCACGACATATTTTGCATTAGTTTATAGTAGTGACTTAGCACAAGCGTGGGAACTTTTAAAACGAGCCTATCATGACTTCCTCAGAACTCATAGTTTCTTGCTTTTTATAAGTTTCTTGTACAACAGGTATGGAACTTTAACCCCAAAGTACTAAAGCAGCTGTAAGTTCATATCAAATTAAATTTTATAAAGATTTAGACAATTTTCCTTGAAATTCTGGAACCGGTTTAGAGAACCAAACATATCAATAGTCAAAACATAGGGAAGGTATGGACAACAATTATTTCAAAAGAAAAATATGAACAAATTCAGAACACCGGTAAGTTTTCTAAACAGGCTATTGAAATATCTACGGGTTTTGTTTTTGAAGCAAAATATCTAGAGTTTATATTTCCAACGGTCACTCAAAATTCCATTTCAGTCCCACAAAACTGCTAGCTGGAAGAGCACTGTCGAAATCAAAATGAAATTAATCCATACAAACACAGGATGATTATTAAGGAAGAAAAAGCTCACCCTTTTGCCGTCGTCAAACCGCACGGCCTTGGCGAGCCTGGCGTAGACCTCCTTCTTCCCCAAGGCGCTCCTCTTCCCACCCCCTTCCACGTCCTCCCCGCCGCTGCCACGCACGAAGCCCATGAGGTACCCGTAGTTCTCCGGCAGCTTGGCCTCCCACACGAAGTCGGCGGCCGCGGCGCTGCGGAACGCGCGGTTGAGCCGCGCGAGCCGGCATATGTCGGGCGCGCCCAGCCGGAGCAGCACCTCCGCCGCGCACAGCTCCGGCATGTCGCCCAGCCCGGACCCCGGCGCCTCCGCCGGTGCCGCGAGGTCCGACGCGCCGGCGCCCATGCTGCCTACGCCTGGCTCCGCGACGCGAGGAATGGCGCCGCGTCTGGTTCGAGCGCCTGCGGCAGATAGCTCCGGTGATCGAGCTCGTACTACCAAATAGCTAGCTAGCTAGCGCGCCAAGAACAAGCAGGCCGGAGCTTGTGGACGGCCGGCCTCGCAGGAGGGAGAAGGAATCGGATGCGGAGAATCGGGTTGGCCCGAGCCAGGGTGCTGGAATTTGTTCGAGGCTCGAGCGCGCTCGTGGTGCTCGTGCGCGGCGAAAACGGGAGCGCGAGCAGAGGCCAGAGGCGAAGAATGCGGGAAGGGGAAGCGCGGGGTGGCCGGAACGGACCAATTTATTATCCTCCCGGGCGACTTCCCACTTCTTCCGTCACTAAACCCCCTTTCAAAAGTTGAAACTGCCGACGGGTTTTGGGAACCAAACGTCATAGTATACGGTTCCGGATTGCGACACACCACCACTAGTGCTCTGCTCTGCGAAGAAAATAGCGCCCTATGGCCTAATAGCACCCTATAGCATTCTTGGCAATGTCTCGCCAAATAAGTCTGTATACAATGTCTTGCTAATAGCAAGTTGTAGCGTGAAATAGCACGCTAATAGCGTATTTCAAGGGCCATGCTATTTTGTCATGGCGCGCTAATTTTTCATTGGTTCTGCTGCATTAAGAGTAGTACAGTTTGGGCTCAATGTTTACCATTTCGGATTGCAAATGTAATTTTTCTTGAAGAAAGTTTACCAAACGATGGCGATGTTTGACTAAAAAACTGAATTTGATTCGGACACAGTCTAAAATTTCAAGAAAGAATATTCCTTTGTTACTACTTCACATCCCCTCATGGAAAAGATCATGTTTTTAACGGTGTAATCCTCTACTCCCTGGCCGTCGTATGCACACCAAGGCACTAAAACCTTACCATTTTCGCCCCACCCTTTGATCCTCGTCTCCCCACACAACCACCTTCATCGCCGAACGATGACGCCATTGAAGGCATAGTCAAGCAAAACCATGAGAACGGAATAGGTACCAACTAAGTTAGGACAAACTTTTTAAATATAGAGGTAGTTGTGAGAATATGGAATGCACTTTTAGGAAAAAAAATACAATAAGTAAACATGGTAACAATTGTTTAAAAAAACATGACAACATCGACTAGCCCCTGTGCTATTTAGTTAAGAAGAAATATAGGCAGACAGGCTTCAGCGTCGTGGGTGGCCAAACTGTAACCTTCGTCCACTATGCAAGCAAGTTCAGGAGTCGGCGGCCCACCTTCTATTCCAATGCCGATACACTTTCAGAGTTTGGCGTATGATCAAAGATTGGCTTGGTCTCCATGATGTGCATCCTTCCGATTGGAGTGACGCGACTTCCGTTAAAGAGTGGTGGAGCCACAATGCTAACAAGAAGACCCAATCGTGAAGGCCGCTTGCTTCCTTGATGCTGCTAATCTCTTGGGAGGTATGAAAAGAGAGGAATGCATGAATCTTTCGTAATAATGCCGTTCCGGTGGGAGTCGTCGTTGCTAGGATTAAAGAGGAAACCTTACTTTAGAGCATTGCGGGAGCAAGGCACTTGAATAACATAATGCCGCGAGAGTGATTGTTGTAATTTGGCCTTTGGCCTTAACCTCTAAAACTTCTCTCTTAATCAATGAAAATGACAAATCTTTTGCCTAGTTTCAAAAAAAAAATATAGGCACACGCTGAATGTAGCCAAGGATCAAACACGGGTGGTGGGCTAGGTCACCCGGCTAGCCGCATGCCACTAACCAATTGATCAATGCCCATTTTTCGTCATTAGGCTTTCCGGTTTTGTTACCAAAATAAACAAAGATATATAATCCAGAACTATTCAAAGCGTATAATTTTTTCCCCAAAAATTGTTTGTTGCCAACTTTGCCGTTTCCTATAATCTGGTTATAATAAGATGCCCAGCTAATGAAGCTTTTGGCCGAACTAAACTAATAATCAAGCTGTTGTGACCTTTGCTAGATCCGAAAGTGCAAACCAATATTATTATTATTTGTGGGTGCAATCCAATATTGTTAACTGTTAAGAGCTAGGATCCCCATTTTTCTATGTATCATGAAAATAATTAAGTTTGGTAGCTCAAATCCGATGAACCCAGAATCTGATGAAACCAACATTTCTGCTGCCTTGGTGTAAAGAAGTCATGGGACATCTTGAGCTCTTTATTTATCCGGCTAACCAATCTTGATTGCTGCCTTTCCGTCTCAGCGGCCACCTAATTTGTGGATCCAATTCAACCTCGCATGATGCACTCTTTCATATAGTTGGGGAATAAAGAGCTAAAAAATTTCTTGGCTCTACATCATACCAAGGACAAAACAAAACAAAGGGAAACCAAAGAATGAAACGGAACACAGTCTGCTCCTTCCGTATTCAAAATAAATGCATGAAGACCAAGGAATGGAGTAAAGAGTTCAAATATGCATGTTTAATCCCTAATAACTAAGCCTATACCAAAAGCCCCAAACTAATCTTTCCTCAACCACAACGACATAATCCACTTGTTTTCGTAACCGATGGCACGCACGGCAACACGATTACTCAAAATCGATGTTTTCGGCAAACTTTAATGAAAAAGGTGTTTTTTGGCACCGTCAGACGCAATTTTGATGTGTTTTTGGCAATTTACTCATTTTGGGAAGGAAACGTCATATACAGTTTTGGGTTGTGACACACCACTAGTTATTAGTGCTGCTACATTGGAGTAGACCACTTTGGGCCAGGAGGGGCTCAATGTTTACAGTTTCAGAAACAGATTGCAAATGTAATTTTTCCGGAAGAAAGTTTACCAAATCATGACGATGTTTGACTAAAAACTGAATTTAATTTGAATATCATATCGTAACTCTTTATGCCGCCATTGAAGGCATAGTCGAGCAGAAAGAAGTACCAACTAAGTTTGGACAACTTTCAAGAAAAATATATAGATGGTAAATCACTAAGCTTTAAAAAACATGGCAACATGGACAAGCCCCTATGGTATTTTGTTAAGAAGAAATATAGGCACGCACCCAATGTAGCCAAGGATCAAACGCAGGTGGTGGGTTACGTCGCCCAACTAGCCAATTGATCAATTTTCACCGAGCTTTCCGCTTTTATTACAAAAATAAACCGCATATTTCAACTACACGGCATAATTTCAGCACAATCCCCAAACCTTCATTTCCAACAACTTGTATCATAGTTTTCTCAAGCCCTGTCCCCACGAAATGACTAAGAGAAACAAGGGAGAAATAAAAATAATCCAAAACTGAGGTTCAAACATGATAAATTTTTCCCAAAAATTGTTTGTTGCCAGCTCTGCCGCTTTCGAGACTCTGTTTAACGAGACGGCCAACTAATGAAGTCTTCGATCGAGCTAAACTATTAATCAAGTTGTTGCGACCTTTGCTAACTCCGAAAGTGTAATCAGATATTGTTAGCCGTTAAGAGTTGGGATCCCTACTTTCTATCTACCATGAAAATAATTAAGTTTGCTCGCTAAAATACGATGAACCGAGAATCTAATGAAACCACCATTTTTCTGCTGCCTTGGTGTAACGAAGGCATGCGACACCCTGAGCTCTTTGTTTATAAGGCTAACCAATCTTGATTGCTGCCTTTCCGTCCCAGCGGCCACCTAAATCGTGAATCCAATCTAGCCTAGCATGGTGCACTCCTTTTATATATATAATAGCTGGGGAATAAAGAGCAAGAACATTATGTGGCTCCACATCATACCGAGGACTAAAACAAAGCAAAGGGAAAAACAATGAATGAAATGGAACACAGTCTACTCCCTCCGCATTCGAAAGAAATGCATTAAATTTCGTTATGAAGGACAAGGAACAAAGTAAAGAGTTGAAATCGACGTATCCGTTTAACCCCTAACTAAGCATGCACAAAAACAAATCTCTCCTAAAACGCGGCATAATCCGCTCATTTTCATAACCAATGCACGCAGGGACGCACGCAAGCCCCGCGAAAATGCTGAGGACTGCGATTTCCTGATTTGTCTGCTTTGGCGGCGTTCTTTCACGGTAAAGGGAGGGGGGGATACATGCGCCAATTCTTAGAAACAGAGGGGGCACCATTCTCTGTGGCCAGTGTTGGCAACCAAAGAAAACATACTACTTTGTTCCCCTTCCATCAACCAAGAAATTTTCAACGTACCTACTTAATTTGCATCAGCAACTAATGGTGTAATAATAATATAAAACACCATGGCGGCTTAGATTAATGCGGTGTCATTCTCTGCAGTTGCACTCCACCTGAAACAAAAGTCCAACCACATTGTGTTTCGTTTGTGTTTGGCCCCTTCCAGGAAGCAAAAGGCACCAGCCAGCAAGTTGCACTTTCTTTCCCTTTCGTGGCCCCAACAGAAATATCCACTTGCGCTTTTGTGGGTCCCTCCGTTCGGATGAAGCCGGGCGTAAATATCGTGGATCCGAGTCAGCACGCACAGGGCCGGCACACGTGGCGGCCGGCCGGGAGCCGACGTCAGTGCTCCAGGTGTTGCCTTGGCGTTTGGGCCGTTGAATTGTGCGGCTGTAATTAGCCGAGAGGGTTAGTGTCGTCTGGTTGCTGACTGTGCTGGTTTAGTGTTGTCTGATCCAAACCTCCGCGGCTACGTGTGACTCTGCTTCGCTGGGTTGATGGATGGTGACCTGGTAAGTGGCACGAGGAGCTTTTGTCTGCTCCAGGTCGGCCACAGCAGACTCAAGCTGGAAAATACGTACTGGAATGCAACCGAATTTGCCGGAATCGTCCGGTTAGCTTCGGTGATCTTGGTGGGACGTGACGGCTGACTGGACGAGATGTGACTGCGTATTTGCGCTGGGACCTTCTTGCCGGCCACGGCCAGGCGGAAATGACTTCTTCCTCACTCACCGATGTCTGAATGAGCCAATGGGACACATCAGCTTCGGTAACGTTCTACTACTACTACTACTGGTGGTAGTTCGGACGTCATCCACGCCGCTTGGAAGAAAGT